GAGAGAGAGAGAGAGAGCACATCCCACCTTCCTTCCCCCAATGTTTACCAGCACTTGACAAACCATGCATTTTGCTTAGTTACTTGTCTATTTCTGTCTCCTTCTGTGAGAATTCAGGGTCTCCATGAGGACAGAGCTCTCAGTTGTTTCCTTTACCTGGCCCGGTGTCAGGAGCACTAAACCGTTCTTGAAAGATCTGTGTGTGAATGCAGAAGGATGACTAGGAGTTGGGTAAGAGAAGAGAGCGGAGGGGAAACAGGTAAGAAGGGAAAGAAGTGGAAAGATGGAGAGGAGAGAACAGGGGAGAAGAAGGAAGGAGGGCTAGAGAGGGAGGGTGAGGGAGGGAGGTGGGGAGGATGCCCACATAGGAAGAGGGGAAGGGAGGAGATGGAGATGCCCCTGGGGGCGGAGCTTTGCCTTTGCTTCTCCATAAGGCCTGGTTGGAACTCTGCCTGTGGGAATTGCCTGAGAAAGGATCACTGGTTTGGACTAGAATTGAGACAAGTGAAGCATGCTGGGATCATGGGTGTCTGGGGGCTCACACAGCTCTGGAGCCTTCTGAGGCCTCACCAGTCAGAGCACTAGTCTGTGCTAAGGTTCCTTCTCCCTCCACCAGGAACATGGGAGACCATAAGGAGGCTTTGCCATTTAGAAAGAGAGCATGTAGACCGTTCTGGATGGAGGAAGCAATAGAAACCAGACTGTAAAGAAGGTCCAGCCCCTCCTGTGGTACTAGGGTTTGAACCCTGGGCCTCATACGTGAAGCACCGGGCATCCTGACTTGGCACCAGTATACCAGAGTCAGCTTGAATTGGCTGACAAATACCCATAGCCAAATTTGTGAGAAATTGGCAAGCTGTTTAAACATATAGGCATCAACTGAATATCGGTGGCTCATCCTAGCCATGGGAGAGGCTGAGGTCTGAGGATCTGTCCTGGTGCTGGGATTCAAAGGGATTCAGAAGGATGAGAGGTCTCTGCCTTCAGAGCCTTGGCAGGGTAGATCTATGGCTGGATCCATTACCAGGAAGAAGGAGACTGAAAAGGACTGACAGTTGACCCAGGTGCCAATGGCTCAAACCTGTACTCGTAGCTACTCAGGATGCTGAGATCTGAGGACTGAGACCCAAAGCCAGTTGGGACAGGAAAGTCTGTGACACTCTTTATTTATTTATTTATATTTTGCCTGAGCTCTTGGCCTGGGCGCTGTCCCTCAGCTCTTCAGCTCAAAGACGAGCACTCTACCACTTGAGCCACAGCACCACTTCTGGCTTTTTCTGCTTATGTGGTGCTAAGGAATTGAACCCAGGGCCTCATGCATGCAAGGCAAGCATTCTACCACTGAGCCACCTTCCCAGCCCCAAGTCTGTGACAATCTTATCTCCAGCAAACTACCAAAAAAAAATCCAGAAGTGGAGCTGTGGCTCAAGTGGTAGAGTGCTAAGTTTGAGTGAAAAATCTAAGGGACAATGCCCAGGCTCTGAGTTCAAGCCTGGAACTGGCTGTGAGAGAGACAGGGAGTTTAGTTCTGAGATCCTGAGGGCCTCTGAGCTAGAGCATCAGGCACACATGCATATGTATATGTGTTCATATATGTATATGTATATGTGTATATATATATGTATATGATATTGGAGGTATGGCTAGGCCAGTAGGTTACAATGATGCTAGAGAGTGGAGCATTCACTCAGCAAATTTTTTCTGAGCACCTACTATGTGCCACATTCTGGATGCAGACCCAGAGCTTCCCTCATTGGCTTGGAGGAGAGACACAGCCAGCCTCTTCCACCTGGCCCATTTCTGGGTTGTCACCCATACCAGGTGAAGCTGGTCCTATTGTGATTACTCTAGTTCACACTAGAATGAAGAAACAGAGGCCTGAGGATGTTAGGCGATGTGTCTCGGGACACAGGGCAGCCTGGGCAGGTGATAATGGAGATTCACATTCAGAGGTGCATGACCTAATGGCACTGAGCTGAATCCTTGTTCTTGATTTTAATCATTTTCAAAACTAGGCAGATAGGGCCCAGGCAAACCTCATTTCCTGGAATCCCACATAGTAATAAGAGTGAACCCCACCCAAAGCCAATAAACCAACCCCTAAGTGGGCAAAGGAGCTAAGGAGAGAATTCTGAGAAGAGGGAAGAATGGAAAAGAAACATCATCCCTAGCCATAAAGGAAATGCAAATCAAAACAACTCTGAGATTCTACCTCACCCCAGTAAGACTGACCAACATCATGAATTCGAACAAGAACAAATGTTGGTAGGGATGTGGGGAAAAAGGAACCCTACTGCACTGCTGATGGGAATGTAAACTAGTACAACCAATCTGGAAAGCACTCTGGAGGTTCCTCAGCAAACTAAGCACAGACCTTCCCTATGACCCAGCCATACCACTCCTTGGTATTTACCCTGAACATCATGACCCGGGATACCATAAAGACACCAACACATCCATGTTCATTGCTGCACTACTCACAATAGCCAAGTTATGGAAACAGCCTAGATGCCCCACAATAGATGAGTGGGTCCTAAAGATATGGTACCTATGTACAATGGAATGTTATGCAGCCATTAGAAAGAATATCACGTCATTTGCAGGGAAATGGATGGAACTAGAACAAATCATGTTAAATGAGGTTAAGCCAATCTGAGAGACAAATGGCACATGTTCTGTCTGATAAGCAGAAGTTGTATCTAAATGCACTGAGATTTGATAAATTATACAGGATTCTAGATCCTCACATACAGTGAGACCAAAAGAGGATACTCTTAGGAGAGAAACACAAAAGCACAATGCCTAAGTACTCTTCATATTTACATAAAATAATACTGTATACTACTGAAATGAACTCCAAGATATAGAGTTCTTTTTTTCCCTTTATGCCTTTTTTAAAGGAAGTTTTAGATGATCCTTTCTTTCTCTTTCTTTCTTTCTTTCTTCCTTTCTTCGCAAATGGGGCTTGAACTGTGGGCCTGGGTGCTGTCCCTCATCTCAACTCAAGGCTAGTGCTCTACCACTTGAGCCACAGCACCACTTCTGGTTTTCTGGTGGTTTATTGGAGATAAGAGTCTCACAGACTTTCCTGCTAGGGCCGGCTTTGAACCATGATCCTCAGATCTCAGCCTCCTGAGTAGCTAGGATTATAGGCATGAACCACCAGTGCCCTGCTAGATGATTCTTTCTTATTTACCTTATGTATGGTGTATTCATTCAAGTGCATATCTTTGGGCAGGTGGGGGAGGGTACAGAACTTGAGAGAAAAAGGATAAAAAAGGTGCAGCAGTAGAGCTCACTGGACCTTGGTGAAAGTGGACTATACAACTTGTGGGTGGAGATGGGAGGGAGGGACTAGGAGAGAATGAGGGAACAGAAGGCACTGTATGAAAGGATATTGACTCATTACCTGACTCATGTAGTTGTAATCCCTGTGTACATCACTTCTATAATATCAATAAAGTAAATTAATTTTAAGAGAAGAATGAATCCCAGAGGATAAGTAGACGCTTACCCAGGAAGTCAGAGAGAAAAAAGTATGTGTGTGTAAGGGTGACAAAGATAGAGACAGAGACACACAGAGACTCAGAGACAGAGACACAGACACAGACACAGGTAGACCAGTACTCCAGAAGGTAGATCCCTGGAAAAATGAACACTACACCTGTAGAATGCATCTCCTGGAGAGGCTAGACAGACAGACAGACTCTCCTGAAGGCAGTTCCCAGGAAAAGCAGGTTGACATAATACCTGTAGCATGCCTCTCTAGGCCAGGCTGGCAAGGGTCTTATGAAGGCTGGAGGGAGAAGCTGGGGGCGGAGGAGGAGGAGGAGGAAGAGGAAGAGTCCTTGGAGTGGAGCACTCTGACAGCTTGCCGGTGAACCCCATGAGCAAGCCATGTGGGCCTCAAGGAGTCCCCGAGAACAGGCTCAGGGCCATAGAAGGAGCCAGGACGTGAAAGGGTTACGCGTGGACAGAGGTTTCTGGACAGCAAGTTCATTTTGGGGGGGAACGAAAGTTCCATTTCTAAAGGAAAACGAAAGCTAGAGATGGAGGTCATTTGAGGCCAGTGAGTTCCTGGTTTTTTCCCTTTTTGGCTGGGTTTTGGCTGGTTTGGGGTGGCAGGGTGAGGATGGAGAAGGGAACTGGTCAAGAAGGAGAAGGAAAATGTAGGCCAGGATTTATCTCACAGTCCTTGCTGGCCAGGCTGCTTCAGGCCTTACCATCTGCTTCCCCAGCAGTGCCTGGCAGGTCGTAGGCATTCAATAAATAACTTCTGCCTTGGGTGGAATTGCTGGGGTTCTTCAGAAGCTGAGTGGGCAGGTCCTAGCTAGAGAACCAGTCATGGATCTCCTCTCTTCATCAGACCAGGGCGGTGGGGAGAGGCAATAGTTCACTCCATGGCTTCTCAAAGAAACAGAAGCTGGAGATTAGCAGAAGTATGCAGTTTGAAGCCAGCCAGGCAGAAAAGTCTGGGAGGTTCTTATCTCCAATAATCTACTTTGAAAAAGCCAGAAAGTGGCCCTGTGGCTCAAGTGGTAGCATGCTAGCCTTGAGTACAAAGAGGCTCAGGGACAGCACCTAATCCCTGAGTTCAAGCCCCAGGAACGGCAACAAAAAAAAATGTGGAAGGGAGAATAATTACAGCTGATTATGTCCTGAGAGAACATTTCAGAAGGTTTGCTGTCACTATTTATTAATGTTATCGTGCATTTGTCACTGCCCTAAGTCTAGCGCATGCATTCACTCATTTAATCGTAAAAATATCAACTGTCGGCCAATATTGGGGAAGGTAGGATTTGAAGGATTTGGAGCGACATAGAGTCTGTGATGTGACCCCCTGGGCTTTCCTTCATTACCCTCCCGACATTATTTGATGTGCCTGGGTTTTAACTGTGCCTCTAGCTAGAGCCTCTGGGCTGCAGGGCGAAGTCATTGCTTCATGCTTCACATGAAGACACAGAGGAATGCTGTGACTTGTCCAGGGCCACACAGCTCTTACGTGACCAGACTACAAACTTGCACTACTCTATCTGCAAGCCTGGTGCCTCCCTTGTTCCCAGAGAGAAGAAAACACAGGAATTCTATAGTCAGGTAACACAGGGGGAGGCACCACCTGGGACTTGGAAAGCGATGTTCTGTCGCATCTCCAGAGTTAGCAGGGACAGGAAGCGGACGGGGTGGTGGTAGGGTACTGAGCTGCCATCACTGTCCCTTGGTTGAAGCTAAAAGAGTTAGAATGAAATAAAAGCAGTGACTGTGAACTGGGAAAACCACAAGGATCCAGGGGCTGGGGACAAAGACTTTCTGTGATAGAGAGGAAGTGCTTGGTCTATGGCCCTGGACCATGTGTGGTGGGAAGCCAGACCCCATCTTAGTGTCCCAGAACTGTGAGCTAGCTGCCTCAGGGCAGAGAGAGGGGTGGTGGCTCGGGGGTGGGGGTGAGGGAGAATCCCCAGGGGTGTCTGGAGGGGAGCCTCAGATTTCTGTGTGAGTTAACCAGGAATCTTGGAGCCAGCCCAGGCAGGAGTGTGGGAGGCGGGCACAGTTGCCCTTATAAACCAGGCTGGCCCAGCACTGCCCCTTCTCCAGGCCTGAGGACAGAGAGGGGCTCACTGGTGAGACTCTCATTCTTGGGGCTGCTTTTGCTCAGGAGGGGTACAGGGAGGCAGGGTCCAGGGAAAGGCTGTGAGAGGGGGCCCCTGGCCCCTCGAGATGGGGTGGGAGGAGGAGGAGGGGGAGGGGGTGGGGCAGGGCCAAGGGAGGGACAGCCTCTTGGTTGCTCTTATGTCCTGGGGGCCTCAGTTGCTCCTCCTTTCCAGCCAGAGATTGTGAACCCAGGGGGTTCCTGGAAGCAGGGGGCTCCCTAGGTGGATGTGGAAGACTGTCCCTCAGGGGAGGGGGCCCCTTCCAAGCCTGTGCTTCCGTTCATCCACCTCTGTGCTCTCCATCTCTCATTATGCAGCCTGACTCCACTCTGAAATTATCTTGCGGTGGGGTTCCCTGGTCATTTGATAAAAATAGACAGTGCCACATCCTTCCCTCCTTCTCCTGGGGACCGGCCTTTGGGCTCCGGGGATGGTCTGGGTTTGGTCTCCACTGCCGCCTCTGTGAAACCTGCCTTCCTCTTCCAGACTCCTCTGTAGGGCCTTCTGATGTGCTGACCTGGACAGCCTGAGGGAACTCTGAGATGCCCTTGGGTGATGGTTTATTTAGGTATGATGAGGACAATGGATCAGAAACCCTTGTTACTCACAGTTCCCCAGAGAAGGCCTGCAGTATCCCCTCATGGACACAAGGGAGAGTGCTAATGTGCACTGAACAGAAGCAGCAGAAAGGCCCAGAGCCTGAGTTGGGATCTCTGAATGAAAAGCACAGCAGGGTGTGGGGAGATGGAAGATTGTGGTAGGCAGGTAGTGTAGGGCTAGCTACTTTGTGTCACTTTGATACCTTCAAGCTGGGGTAGGGGGAGTGGCTCCAGACTTTTCTCCTTATCTGGATCTTGCCTGGGGTGATTTGGGGTAAGAGACCCTAGCGGGACTGTGAGGGTTAGAGCAGAAGTGGGATTGGTAGATTGTTTGGGTTGTTGATTTTCACACAAAATGCCTGCTCCCAAAAGAGTCATTACGGTCTCCAGAAATTAGTTAATGGAGCCATAGGGCAGCCTCTGTTAACTTAGGAAGAAACAGAAAATATCAAAGCATCGCAAAAGCAAGTAAAAGGCCCATCATGGTGGCTCACACCTGTAATTCCAGCTATTCAGGAGGGGGAGATTGGAGGATTATGATAGAAGGCCAACCTCAGCAAAAAGTTAGTGAGACTTCATGTCCACCAATAAGTCAGCTACATGGCATAGGTAGAAGGATCATGGGCTGAAGGCCAGCCCTGGGGGAAAAATAAGAGACCCTACCTGAAAAATGAGCAAAGCATAAAGGTGCTGGGCACATGGCTCAAGTGGGAGAGCACTTGCCTAGCAAAGCTCTGAGTTCAAATTCCATACTATCAAAAGACATATTTAATGTGCAAGGGTTGCTCAGTGGTAGCTGAATAAAGTCTGTCAAAGGAGAATATTCATTGTTGGGCTAAACCTTTGGGAAATTAATTTCACCTCTCCAAGCTTTAATTTCTGAAATCTGTAAGGTCAGTAGCTTATTCATTCCTTCACTCACTCATTCTTCATTCATTTATTCAGTCATTCATTCAACAAATAGCCATTTGTGGGATGGATAGGTTTAACACTGTACCTGCCATAGTCATTGATGGTTTTGAAGGTCGATGGATGGTGCCTGGCTCATCAGAGGTAGTTACCATCTCCACCTTGTTGGCAGCTCCAGGATGCAAGAGAGAAAGACTTGTGTGGAAGGTGGGGTCTAGGGCCATTGTACCTGGCTGCTCAGAGCCCTGGGAGCACAGGCTGGAGGTTAACGGAACCCTCAGAAATGTTCTTGGAACTCATTGGCTCTGCTGGACAGAGGCCAGGCCGAATGGCCAGTGGCCCTGGGAGTCTGAAGCTGTGTGTTTGGATGCCAGGCCTTGGGTGGTGCCAGGGGCTCAGGCAGAGCATTGACATGATGACCCTTCAACCTGGGGACTTGTACACAATGTGGCACTGAAGGGAAAATCCTGGCAGATCACAGCAGCTGAGCAGCCTGGATCTACCTTTGTGGTCCTTAGGGGAGAAGCAGGCAGCTGCTGGTAAGGAGCCTCTGAGAGGACGAATTGGAATGGGGCAGTGGCCAGGGGACACATGGAATTTCCTGTCTGAAGGCCCTTTCAAGCATACAACCCTGCAGCGAGATGGATCTGAAGGAAGGCAGCACTGGAAGATAGAGTCCTGGAAGGAACTGAACTCCCTAGATTTGGAGAATTCATTTGTCCCTCAGGGGAAGGCTATGTGGGACAGGGAGGGGCACACATTCTGGGGCTGAATCCCTCTGTCTACTAGTTTGTTGGGCTTCTGGAAAGCTCCTTCAGCTTTCTGAGCTCAAGTTTTCCCACTGACAAATAGAGCTAATGATACCTGACAGGCTGGGATAAACACCTAAGGTCCACTTATTCTTGAGCACAGCTGCTGGTTCTTTCTGGAAGCTTTTGTGTGTGTGTGTGTGTGTGTGTGTGTGTGTGTGTATGTGTGTGCCAGTTGTGGGGCTTAAACTCTGGGCCTGGGCGCTGTCCCTCAGCTCTTCAGCTCATGGCTAATTCTCTACCACTTGAGCCACAGTGCCACTTCTGGCTTTTTCTGCTTATGTGGTGCTGAGGAATCGAACCCAGGGCCTCATGCATGCAAGGCAAGCACTCTACCACTGAGCCACCTTCCAAGCCCCTTTCTGGAAGCCTTTGCCTAGTCTTTCTGGTTGGGATGGGGCATCTACTGCTCTGCATGAGGGAGAGAAGCATGAGTAGGCCAAGCGGGGAGCCAGGTGGCAGGGGGTGGGGGTGGGGGTGTGGGGAGATCAGGATGGGCCTTGAGGACAATAGCTGAGAGACAAGTCATGGGATGTGTTCTCTTTTCCAGAGACCCAGAGATGAGGGGCATCCTTACACTGGCTTGGTTCTTCGCTTGTAAGTACTGATCCCATGAACTCTGAATGACCTCCATCCCCGTGGGAATGATGGGTAGTGAGGAGAGGGCACCTGATCTTCGAGATGAGAGAACAATGCTTAAATCTTGGCTCTGTACTTCCAACACAGATGTAAGATGCCAGTGAGGGCCTTGCTTTCCCCAAGCCCGTGTTCCCTCTCTGACTTAGGATGCTGCTGTGGAAGGGAGGAGAAGGTCGTGAACAGGGCAGACAGATATCCTCCCCTCCCTCCTCATGCAAACAAACAAACAAAAAAGAAATAATAAAGAAAAACAGAAGCCAGACACTGGTGACTTACATCTAGAATTTTAGCTGAAGAGACTGAGATCTGAGGATTACAGTTCAAAGCCAACCTAGGTAGACATCTCTGGCATCCTGTTATCTCCAATGAATCACCAAAAAGCTGGAAGTGGAAGTGTGGTACAAGTGGGAGAGTGCCAGCCTTGAGTGGAAAAGCTAAGGGACAGAGTCTGGATCTTGAGTTCCAATCCCAGTAAATATATAAATAAACATATCTGAATAGATATAGATAGATAGGTAGGTAGACAGCTACAATAAGGACATACAACAAGATAAAAAATAGAATACCTGACCCTACCTTTTCAAGATCTTTCCAGTTTGCAAGAAGGAGTTGGTTTCAGTGGTGCTTAAAGACCCCAGTCGTTCCAACTTTCTATTCCTTATGTTCTAAGGCATAGCATTCAGTGTTCTGTTAAGCAATGAGGTGGGAAGGAAGGAGGGGGGATTACCAGGAGAGACAAGAAGCTCCCTCTGTCTGCTCCACACAGATAACATAACTTGAGATTAGTGTCAGGGCCAGTTGGCCAAACTCAGGCCCACTCCTTTAAGTCTACACTCTTACCCACATCTCTATGCTGGTTGCCCTCACTGGCTTGGGAGGATGAAAGAGTGTGGGAGAAAGGGCAGGAGAGGCTGGGGAGTGGGCTCATGTTGGGAATCTGGGGTGTCTTTCAGCTGTGCCTGCTGTGCCCGGAGACTTGCTTGACCTGAAGTCCATGATTGAGAAAGTGACTGGAAAGGATGCTCTGAAGGCTTATGGCTTTTATGGCTGCTACTGCGGTTGGGGTGGCCGAGGGACCCCTAAGGATGGCACTGACTGGTGAGGAGATGTCACCACTGCACAAACATCCCATCCCATTCCATATGTGTTTGCAAGATGAATATTGAGGCAGCATTTTTGTGTGTATGTTTTGGTACTGCGGTTTGAACTCAGGGCCTAGGCCTTGTCCCTTAGCCTTTTATGCTAAAAGCTAGAATTCTACCACTTGAACTACAGCTTCACTTCTGGTTGGTGCTTAATTGGAGATAAGATAAAAGTCTTACAGACTTTCCTGCCCAGGCTGGCTTTGAACAGAGAGCCTCAGATTTTAGCCTCCTGAGTAGTTGGGATTACACACATGAGCAACCAGAGCCTAGCTGAGGCTATACTTAAAAAATTGAAGCTCAGAGATATTATGAAAATTGAAACTCAAGGGCTGGGAAGATGTCTCAGTGGTAGAGTGCTTGCCTTGCATGCATGAGGCCCTGGGTTTGATTCCTCAGCACCACATAAGCCCAAAGTGGCATTGTGGCTCAAGTGGTAGAGCACTATTCTTGAGCTGAAGAGCTGAGGGATGGCACCCAGGCACAGAGTTTGGGCCCCCAACTGACAAAAAAAGAAGGAAGGAAGGAAGGAAGGACAGAAGGAAGGAAGGAAGGAAGAAAGAAAGAAAGAAAGAAAGGGAAGGAAGGAAGAAAGGAAGAAAGAGAAAATTGAAATTCAGAGAAGTTAACTGGCTGACTAAGCTATGTTAGGCAGCTCACAAACAGTCCCAGGATCTTAGCAACTTAAGGTGTTTCTGCTTTGTTTCAGCATAACAAAAGGGTCTTAATACTGTGGCTTGAAGAAACCACAGCTCTTTAGTTTGCTAACAAACCTGCCATCTGAGAAAGGCTTGTGTGTGGATGGCTGTCTCTGCTTTGCTCTGTTACAGCCTGGGCAGCTCTGCTGGGACTGAATGATTCACCCTGTGGATGGCTCATGTCTCTAGCTGGCAGGTGGGGGAGCCACACTCTTCTCAATGAGGCCTCTGCAAGGATGCTTGTGCTTCCTCACAGCATGGCTGCTCTTCCATTCTAAATAGAATGTTCCCAAACTGCAATACAGAAGAGTGGCATTTTTATCTTCAACCTCAGAAATTCCAGTGTCACTTATACTGACCTATTAGTTGGGGCAGTCACAAAGGCTTTAAGGAGGAAGACACTGAAATTACTCAAGAGGTGGAAAGTTACAAATTAGATAGAAGGAGTAAGATCTGTTTTTCTATTACACAGCAGGTTGACCATACTTAATAACATAAACATTTCAAAAGAGCTATAAGAGAGGATTTCTAGTAGTCTCACCACAAAGAAAAGAATAATGAATGTTTGAAGTAACAGATATGCAGAGTACCCTAATTGTATTATTGGATAATAGCATAGAATATGCTTAGTGCCATATTATTCCCCATGAATAAGTACAGTTATCATGCATCCAAAGCGAAAGAAAAGAAGGAAAGAGGGGACCTAGATCCTGTCTCTTGATTGGGAAGTGTTACAGGTTTAGAAGAAAGAACAAGAGACTAAGATATCATTCTTGTGAAAACTCAGTCTTTTTTTTTAATAACAATTATGATGCCAGCATACATGGACAATGGAAAGCCTTAGCTAAGTAAATGGATGGCAGGTTGTTGGAGCCAAGTTTCCCACTGCTGGAGTGGGGGTTTACAGATAAGCAAGGGGTGGGGGAGTATAGAATGGTCTCCATGGTGATAGGTTACAGGAAGAGACATCAGTAGGCTGTCCGGCTTAATATGGACATTCACACAGAGAACTATCTAGAGATATGTAAATATGTGTGGGTTAATATAAACACATACATGTTTACCCTGTTAGCTAAGAGGGGCTAGCAGGAAAAAAAGACCCCAGGAGCAACAAATCAGAACAGCAAAATAAATCAACTATAATTTCAGTCTTAGCATAAAAAAAGAAACAAAATTCCTAGTGGGCAGGGTTCTGGTGGCTCATGCCTGTAATTCCTAGCTACTCAGGGGGCTGAGATTTGAGGAACATGGTTCAAAGCCAGTCCAGGCAGGAAAGTCTGTGAGACTTATCTCCAATTAACCACCAGAAAACAAGAAATGGCACTGTGGCTGAAAGTGGTAGAGCTCTAGCTTTGAGCAAAAGAGCTCAAAAACAGCATCAAGGCCCTGAGTTCAAGTCCCATGACCATAAAAGAAAAAAAATCGTAAGTGAGATATCCTACAGAATACCTGACCAAAATTCCTGAAACTATCAGTCATCAAAAAGAAGGAAGAAGCTGGACACTGGTACTGGTGGCTCATACCTGTAATCTTAGTTACCCAGAAGGCTGAAGTCTTTGGACCAAGAGTCTAAGCAAGCCCAGACAAAAATGTACATGAGACAAAAAAGTATTGTAAAGGTGATGTACCGAAAGGTTACAGTTACATAAGTAAGGTAATGAGTATATTTCTTTTTGAACAATGTTACCGCCTCTCTCATTTTTCCCACTTCCTCTCATCCCTGACTCCCCTCCCACTCAAATTTAAAGTTCATTTTCAACATAGTGTCTACTGAGTATTACTGTTGACTTGTATCTCCAGGTAACTGGTAGAGCGCCAGCCATGAGTGAAAGCCAAGCAAAGGCATGAGGCCCTGAAATCAAGCCCCAGTACTGGTACACACACACACACACACACACACACACACACACAAGCATAGAATATGCTAAAGGGACAGGATTGAATTTTTGTACCTGCTAAGGATGGCAGCCTAAATAATATATAATCTCCAAAGAATAATGACATTGATTTGGTAAGAGCAGACCAATAACCGCAGCAAACTACAGATGTGCTCATGGGGATGTTTTTATTTGCAGAAGAGGTAGTTACATAAGCTGCTTGGATGCAAAGGAGTTCATTGGTCATGAGCATCAGCTCATGAGAGGAGAGGGAGGTTGGTTGCTAGGCAACGTGCAATGTCTCAATTGCTGAAGTCTTCAAGAATGTTAAAGAGAAACTTTTCCCCAGTAGACTTTACATACAAGCAAGCTGTACAAAGCACAGGGTGTGTGTAGGATAAGAAGAAAATCCTTGCCCTAATCCTCACTTCAGGCAGGCAGGTACCATCCCTCCCCTTGATTATCTCCTGACTGTGACTCTGTGTGTGTGTGTGTGTGTGTGTGTGTGTGTGTGTGTGTATTTGTACTGAGGCTTGAACTCAAGGCCTGGGTGCTGTCTCTTAGCTTTTTCACTTAAGGTTAGTGTTCTACCACTGGAGCCACAGCTCTACTTCTGGCTTTTTAATCATTCATTAGAGATAAGAGCCTCATAGACTTTCTTGTTTGGGCTGGCCTCAGATCTCAGCCTCCAGAGTAGCCAGGATTATAGGCATGAGCCTCTGGAGCCCAGCTTGTCTCTAATTTTGTTTTGGCCTGACATGTACATCTTGATCTTGTACTCCTTCACAGGGATGGGAGGCAGAGGGAGTCCCTCCATTCAGGACCCCAATCTCTTGCTTTGGCAGGTGCTGTTGGGTACATGATCAGTGTTACGGGCGGCTGGAGGAGGAAGGCTGTAACATTCGGACACAGTCATACAAATACAGATTCGCATGGGGCCTTGTCACCTGTGGTAAGGCTGGGCTTCCCATTGGGCCAGGATCTCTCATGTCTCAGTGTTCAGCTACTTGAAATGCCAGCCAGTCTGTCTTGGGAGGTAGAGTGTGGATAAAAGACAGGGCCCATATGAGACTTCTGGAGGAGGGCTGGCATGCCTTAAGACTCAGCATTCACTAGGCGCTAGAGGTGGTGCAGACTCCTTTATACTTCATCTCCCAGCCCCCTGCCACCCAACAAACCCCTGTGGAGTAGGCACAATCTCCTCCATTGCTTTTTTCTTCTTTTATGCCTGTCCTGGGGCTTGAACTCAGGGCCTGTGTGCTATCCCTGAGCCTCTTTGTGCTCAATGCTTAAAGCTCTACCACTTGAGCCACAGTGCCACTTCCAACTTTTTCTGAGTAGTTTATTGGAGATAAGAGTCTCATGGACTTTTCTGCCTGAGCTGGCTTTGAACTGTGATCCTTAGATCTCAGCCTCCTGAATAGCTAGGATCGTAGGCATGAACTACAGGCACCTGGCTCCCCCATTGTTTTGTTTTCTTTGCTCCTGGGACTTGAACTCAGGCTCTCAACATTTCCCTGAGCTTCTTTGCTTAAGGCTAGTATTCTACCACTTAAGCCACAGCTCTACTTCCAGCTTTTTTTGTGGGGGGAAAGGCGAGCAGTTAGTTAGAGATAAGAGTCTCATAGGCTTTCCTGCCCAGGCTGGCTTTGAACCGCGATCCTCAGATCCCAGCTTCCTGAGTAACTAGCATGATGGGCATGAGCCACAAGTGCCTGGCTAGTCTCTCTCATTTTGCACATGGAGAGACTGAAGCTCAAAGAATCACCAGTTGATGGCTGGGTTCAAACCCAAGTCCTCTGAGTTTGCAGCTAAGCTTAGGAATAGATCCCCCTCTAGGAGCCTCAGTTTCTCCAAGTAGGGGCTGGAAAATCCCAAAGGACAGGCTCTAGTCTCCTGGGACTGAAGGCTCCCATGGGGCGGTGACAGTGTCTCCTCCTCACAGTAGACAGTTCCCCCACCTGGGGCTGTGCACCCTTCAGGGGAGGATGCAGACGGGGAGACTGCGTAGACGCAGACTCTGGCCCCGTCCTCGGACTTGGCTTTGGACAATGAACCTTGGTAGAGTGTGTTTTTTTCCCCATCCTCCTATATTCCATGTTTCTTTTGCAGACCGAGGGACCTTCTGTCCAGCAAAGCTCTGCACCTGTGACCGGAACTTTGTCTACTGCCTGAAGAGAAATCTGTGGAGCTACAACCCTTATTATCAGTATTTCCCCAACATCTTCTGCTTCTAGTGGCTCTGAGTGAACTTGTTCCTGACCCTGCTTCTCTTACATCAGGTTATTACTATCTGCAGACCCCTGACAGCCGCCTCCAGGAGTGGGCCTTAAATCTTCCTCCTAGCTCTGTCCAGCTGGGAGGAGCCCCAGACCACACTTCCTGCTCCAGAATGGTGTCTCTGGTCCAGGATGTGGCCAAATTCAGAGTCACTAGCTGTCTGTGAGCTCAGCCTTGTGAGTTGAGGAAGGGAATTCTCTTTCCAGCTCTGGATGGGATTTAATGTTTATTTTCTTCGATACATTTACCAACATAGCCCTCCAGGGAATGTTTCTTCCAGTAAAAGCAAAATTGACTCCATAGATCTGCTATGTTGATAATAAATAAAATTAAATCTTGAAGCTACTAAAAAGCACACAGACATTTCTTCTTGCTGCAGGGAATTGTCTGAATCTCTGTCTGTCTGTCTGTCTTTGCCATTGGCATGAAACCTGGTTACCTGCATTGCTTTAGAGGCAGAGAAAGGGACAGTAAATGCAGGGCAGGTTTCTTACTTGAGCTCCAAGTCTTCTCTTGGGTTCATTTCCTTGAATTTTGGGGTCCCTTGAGCCAGGCTGGGGGTCAGATAGTAGGCAGGAATGCCAGTTCGGGCTTCAGATCAGAGAGGGTAGTGTTCAAATACTTATTCTGGCTTCTCTCCTTGTGTGGCCTCAGGCCACCCTCTCTAACTTTCAATGTCTTTGAAGAAGAAAGTGTGAGGTTCCTGGCAGCTTAAAACAAGACTCTTATTGCCCGCCTTGACGTGGATGTAGGGATGATGGCTTCTGGGGTTCCACAGAGCAGGAAGAGGGCTCTAGTGGCTGAAGTGTGAGGAGCTCAATGGTCGAACACTGGCTTAGCACCTATGAGGCTGTGGGCTCATCTGGTGCACTGTGGAGAGAGAGAATGAAAGAAAGAGAAAGAAAGGGAGAGGAGAAGGAAGGACGGAAGGAAAGAGAGAAAGAAAAATATAAAGAAAAAAGGATTAAGCGACAGGGTTTATTATTGTTTTTAATTAAGGACACTTAAGAACTCAATTTTACCTCACAGTTTATAAAAGAAAAGACATTCTAGCCAGGCACTGGTGGCTCATGCCTATAAGAGGCAGAAAGGAGTTTATTTGGGAGAGTCAAACTGCGGGGCCCCTCTAGAGTAGGGTGTAGCATGTACCAGCTGCAACTAAAGGCAGAGAGAGATTATATAGCATGGCGGAGGGTGAGAAGGAGGTGTAACCTATGAGAAAGGGGACCGCTCACTGTCTGAAGGAGGCGTGACCAGAGCAGTGACCTCAGAAGATGAGCAAGTGACCTGAGAGCCCCAGGTGCACTAGGTACCTGGCTTACAGGTGCTGGGCGGGGACTTCTAGGCAGGGCCACATGCAGTTTTGCACAGAGAGAAAACAAGGGAAGGGGTTTAGGGGTCTAACTGTGGTTTTGCATGGTTTAGCATGGAGAGAAAACAAGAAAAAGGAGCCATTTTTTTCCAGGTGGACCTAACATTTAGGAGGCTGAGATCTGAGGATCAACCATTTGAAGCCAACCTGTGCAGGAAAGTTTGTGAGACTTTTCAATTTACTAACAAAAGGCTAGAAGTGGAGCTTGGCTCCAATGGTAGAGCTCAGGGACAGCCCCCAGGGAATGAGTTCAAGCCTACAACGGGCACGGCAACAACAAACATGTTTTAATTCCAAGACTCCAGCAAGAAGGGACAAGTTCCAAAACAAAGGAGAATCGTTTCCAAGAAAGGATTTTTGCGTTCTTTACATCCCCAAATAACCATAATAATCACCAAATAATAATGGTGGAATCATGGGGCTGAGAAGGTGGCTCAGTGGTAGAGCACTTGCCTTGCATGCATGAGGCCCTGGGTTCGATTCCCCAGCACCACATAAGCAAAAAGAAAAAAAGCCAGAAGTGGTGCTGTGGCTCAAGTGGTAGAGCGCTAGCCTTGAGCTAAAGAGCTGAGGGACAGCACCCAGGCCCAGAGTTCAGGCCCCATGACCAGACCCCCCACCCCCAAAAGAAATAATAGTGGAATCTATTTTTAACGAATAGTGTTGAACATTTTCTGAAAACAAAAAAATTAACCCCATGATATTACCTTGAACGCATTGGTATTTCGACATATACTCAATGACTATATTTAAGACTGTAACGGAATAAGGATCATATGCCCAATTTTCTCTCAAAAAAATTAAAAATCAAAACCACTTTCAAGATGCAACCTTCCTGTGGCTTTGTAGGGGAAGCCGGAAGCTCCTCTCAGTGGCCAGTTTCTTCAGCTATGAAACACTGAATGATGTTTTCTCATTCTCCCACCAGGCTAAGAGGTGCTTGTCCGGTAAGGTGTGCAGATATGGCTGTGGGCAGGTCTTCTCCCTGGAGCGTCCAGCTCAGAGCCCTAGTATCTAGACAGGACAGGAAAGAAATGCTACAAGGTGACAGATGAAGTACCTACCACAGGCTGGTGTGCATTTGAGCTGGAAGGGACCATGGAGAACCTTCATTGATCAACCCAAGAATTGGGACCCCCGAGAGCTGAGACTTTCCCAAAGTCACACAGTTCATCTCCAGCCAAAGCAGGAATAGCCCTCCTGACTTAAACCTGGAGCTCAGCTCACCACCCGGCTACAACTCAATGGGAGAAAATGGAACCCAAAGCAGTTGAGAGATGCATTCACATTAGGGGTCCTCAAGAGACCCCTAGAGTCTAGTCAATGGCTTGCTCCATTTTTTCCCTCTGTACTTTGCCTCTTCGACTTCCAGCAGCCATCTGTGGCTGGGTTCTAGGCTTCGTACTCCATACCAGACACCCCAAGGCTGTTGTTGCCTTGGACCCACCTTCTCTATGGTGAACAGCTCCGAGGAAACAAACTAAGTGGTCCCTCAAACTTGGGAAGAGATATCCCCACTTCTGATTCACCCATTCCTTGGTGGACAGCAGCCCCATCAAAGAAGCCATTAACTACCCCCCTCTCCTTAAAATTGCATCCCTCCTCATTTCAAAGCTACTGAAATTTATAAAGCAGCCTACCATGCACCCTAGCTAGATCTTTGTATAAATGTGGGCAGAGAACACAGATAGATCTGCACTCAATGGGTAGACTGCCTTTTCTGGCATCTGAACGTGGCCTTTGGACTCAACCTTCTGAGCACATGGGTGAAGAGGTTCATGGCTGCCAAACTAAAATGGATTCAAAGAGAAAGCCCACTGGTAGATACAAAGCAGAGAGCACAGAGAAAAGAGGATCTGATGAGGTAGCAGGTGACCCTCCCTTTTGCTGGACACTGCCCCTACCTGATCTGAAACTCTGGAGGCAGTAGAGCACTTGTGTGCTGTGAAGGCAGAGCTGCTTTGCCTGAGGTCACACAGATAATGGGGAAGACAGGTGGGAAGGAAGCAGAGGCTGCCAGATCCCCAAGCTGTGTTCTTAAGCTGTAGAAGAGATGGCATCAGACTCGGAAGCTGGGGGACTGGGCCAGTTCTTGCAGCAGGCACTGGAGGAAAACATGTTTTTGTTTTGTTCAGTGTGGGTGTGAAGAGTTCTGATTGTGTAATCTTAGCCTAAGCCATGTGTTCTAGAATTCTTTTCCCTGCAGAGTTCTAGGTTGGCCGGGCCCAGAAAGGTGGAAGGGAAGTAACAGCCATCTGTATATGTTGTTTTCTTTCTTTTTTTTTTAACTTAAAAGATTGGATTTCAGAACTGCTATCATATTCTGGCCTGCTCTGTGTGTGTGTGTGTGTGTGTGTGTGTGTGTGTGTGTGTGTGTGTGTGTGTGTGTAAGAGAGAGAAAGAGAGAGAGAGAAGTTTTATATATTTTTTAAATATAAGCTAGACACCAGTGGCTCATGTCTGTAATCTTAGCAATTTAGGGGGTTGAGGTCTGAGGATCATTGCTCAAAGCCAGCCTCAGCAGGAAAGTTTATGAGACTCATCTCCAATAAACTACCAAAAAGCCAGATGTGGGGCTGTGACTCAAATGGCAGAGCACTAGCCTTGAGCACAACGTCTCAGGGACAGCACCTAGGCCCTGAATTCAAGCTGCAGGAACAACAACAAAATGGAGTGTAAAAACTAAAAAGTCACTGTAGAAACATATGACTATCCTAACCCATTCAGGCAGACTAACTTATTGACCTGTATTCAGAACAGACAACTGGTTGACCACTCTCCTAGAAAGGAAGTTGTGTTTGGGACTTCCTAGGGAGGCCCAGCCGCTTCCGAGGGTAAAGCCACAAGGCTGCTTGCCCACCTGTGTCTGCTGGGTCTCTGTCTTCAGTGTCTCTGCTGTTGGAGCTGGATGTGGGTTTAGCTCTATGAGTGAGACAGACAGCTACTTCTGTGAGGTGCTGTGGTAACCAAGCTGGGGCCAAACGTACTGAGACCCACCAGGATCTAGTCCATGCTTCCAGATGTCATTTGTTCTGTGGGTTCCTGTTTGCCCATGCTTGCTATCCTCCCTTTCATCTCCGGCTGTTTTTTAGACTCTCTAGCCTGCTCATTTTGGCTTTAGCACCAGACAGAAGAAATGGCTTCCCGCAGCATGCTAGGCCAGCTCTCTGGCTGATCAAGTCAAGTCCCTACAACTATTTTTTATTTAATTGGGAAGATATGTAACAAGCTCATATGGTTGTTACTTCAACCCATTGACCAGATGTTTTGAAAGACTGCCAGCAGAGTGGCAGAAGAACAGAAAGGCCTGCAGTAGGTTTCACACAAGCAATACTGTCACTTGAGCCAGGTGACCCAGCAGATCAATGGACCTTGAAAAAGGTGCAGCTAAATACTCAAGGAGGCCTGGACAGGCCTCAAGGCAATGCACAGGCAGACCCCTAGGGGTGCAAAGCAAAACTCACCATTGACCACAGAGAACCCTTCCCTGTCTTTCTTGCTTCAAACCAGAGGAATCACAAGGGGTCTGTGATTTGACAAGTCTCACATCAGAACAGAAATAAATATCACCAAGATCTGGATGGATAGATGTTCCAGCCTGGTAAGGGGAAGTTAGCATGTTTTACACTATATAAGGGATAATACATTCTTCTGGGCAGAAAGACTTTTTTATGGTCTTTACTTGGAAATTAATGGGAAAAAATATATATGAGTTGGGTGTGGAGTTAACAGGGGGTTGTGTGTTTGTCCCACGTTCCTTAGCTAAGTTGAAACTGTGTTCCCCAGAATCTCATCCCCAGGTATTGACTTGGGAGATCTGAAAGCCCACTGGAGCACTAGTCATGTGGTCTCTCAGTGGGAAAGCTGGAGCAGGGGGGGGCGGACACTGTGCAGCTAAGTCATGTTGGCCTCACCTGC